TATCGCTCTTTGTTTTAAAAAAGGTTATAAAAAATGTAAATAATTATCGATACCTAACGATATGAAACATTATATCGTTGATACATTTTTTAGCTATATCGCCCAGCCCTACCTCCATCCATACACATATGTGTTGATTAAATACTCGGTCTGTTTTATAAATAACAAAACCATGGACACTATTCATTTTGACTATTTCACTTTGTCTCATATCAGTCTAAAAGCATCAGCCTCACAGTTTCCACTGCATGTCTGGTGATGCCTCTGTGACTTTGGTATTTAATCCATTTTGCAGACTGATGAAAGCAGATGTCCTGGTAGTACAGACTGACAGAAGGTAAAGGAATCCCAGTTTCTTTTCACTCTCATTTGCACTTAAATCCATATAAATCCCACTCTATCCTGTAATTCTCTAACTGACCTTTAGGGATGGGCGTATCGATACTGATGCGAGTATCGAAAGTATCGATACTCAAATAAAAAATATCGATACTAAGGTGTGTGTTTTTTTTTGTTTGTTTTACCAGTGATTTTGTTTATTTAACAAAAAAATGTATGCGTACAATATGTATTGAATTGGATGAATAACCTATGTTAGTGAATAATTGTGTAGGATAGAACTATTTTCCTGCTCATCTGTTGCAAGACAGAACCAATCAATCACAGAGAGCGTTCACTCACTTCTGACAGTGCATTCAAAGAGGGCTGCGTTTCCCAAAAGTATCATAAGAAATCATTGATGCTTTTGGGAACGGCAGAACAATTCTTATCAGACGACAGAAAAAACATATATGTTTTGAGTTATTTCACAATAAACAAATTGAAATGGTAGCCTACATAGTGCAATTACATTTATTTAAACTGAACGTTAAAAGCTCATATTGATCATGTTCTATTCTGTAATGTTAATATAAATCATAGCTGTCAGAATAAAAAGGCTGCATTTTATGCATGCAACAGCTTGTCACTGGCAGTCCCTTATGAAAATGAACCATGGTGGTTTTACTAAAGTGACCGTAGTTCAACTATACTATTTGTAGATTTCCATGGTTACCACTACAGTAAACATATTGTAACCACGTGTAAACAAAAATATAACCTAGTAAGTTGCAATTAAGGTGTATTGAATGTTAAAATGCATTTCAAATATAAAGCTAAGTGGGTATCATTACCCATTTCACTCTTTTGTAATTGAATAATTTAATACATTTCATAATTTAAAAGTTCAGTTTAGAAGTATCGTATCGGTGTCGATATCGACGATACTGGCCTTTAAAAGTATCGGTATCGTATCGAAAACAAAATAAGTGGTATTGCCCATCCCTACTGACCTTCCATCTCGGTGGGCGGCTCCTCCTTCTGTCACTGTCTTGACAAAGATTCCCAGTTTTTCCAGTCCCATGTCCGCGCCAGCACCCATCCCGATGATGCTGATTCCCAATCCGTCATTATCTGACCGGAAGGAATCACAGAGTTACAGTTTACATGACTAAGTTAACACTTCTCGTAAACGAACACAACATCAAGCAGAAGTACAAGCAGGATTTCAGAGCTACGGCAGAGGGGAATTTTTCAGTGACCCTTATGTTCTTCAATTCAATGATTCTTTAAATCAGTGTTGTTTTTATTAATTAAAACACTAAAACAATTTTTTAAGGTTTTTGGCAATTAAAATACAGATTAAATATAAATATTAGATGAAAAACTTTAAAAATGTTGCCTTGACAACTAACTGAAATGAATAAGTTTAAGCTAAAGTACTACAATTGCTAAAACTAAAATACAAATAAATGAAAGCTATATGGAAATATAAAAAAACTAAACAAGAATTAAAAAAAAGCACATAGTAAAATGACTAAAACTAAAATTTAAAATGAAAACCAAAAATATAAAAATAAAAGCTAATTCAAAATATTATTAAATACTAAAAAATAACGGTTTAGAATTGTAAATGTGCACTTCAAAAGCTTTAAGGCTTTTAGACGGCAATAACTAAATATTGGGATAATGAGCTGGAATTAGTATGTGACTAATCCTGTGACTGTAAATCATTTGAGCATATTTAAAGATTATAATTATTTAGCAATTATAAATACATTTGATTCCAAATAATCCTCTTGAAATTACATTATTCTTAATCACTTCTTTTTAGCCCAGAGCGGTTGTAACTTTAATACCACTGGAATATAAAAACTACACAGCTGAACACAACGCCTCTATGTCTACGCTGTGATATTTCACATACGGTAGCTATGGTAACCGCCACACTGCTTTAGGAGAGAGGGCCCGAGCCCTCCGATTTTCTAATCAGCAAAAGCTGCTTACTTTACAGAGCAAAACAAGCTGCTTCAGACAGTTTGTTTAGAAACAGGAAGTTAAGGACCCTTAAGACAACATGCCACACAGGCTCTAAAACACACACGGTTTAGTCAGGAAAACTCCATCGGTGGGTCGAGTACCTTTCTCCAGCTCAACGGGGAAAAGGTCCAGTCTCTCCACCCTCTTCTCCAGTTCATACTCGGCCGAAGCCGCCATGGGATCAACCTCATCATTACGCCTGTCGTAGTCCTCGTTCGAGTATGTGGTGAAAACCTGGGAAAACAAAGTCAAGAAGCTTAAGCCTAATATATAGAGTATTTTAAATTGTGTTTTTGCTTTTCTCGGCAAGAGATGCAGCAAGTCATTCACATTGAGAGTAATAGAGCAGGTGACAATTACTGTAAGAATTATGAATTAATTAACACTGGCTGTCAGGAGACTTGGGTTCAGATACTGGTCACACACACATAGTGACAGGGACTTTATCGTTTCTTAACCTGTCCTGGATTATATTCAAGATGCCAAATTGCTGCAAATGCACTATTCACTGGGCAACAACAGATGGAATACAAGTTTTCAAAAATTGGTATGAAAAATTCAGTCTGTAGCGGACATGGATTTAATGCCTGTCAATTCAGAAGTACAGATTAATAATAAACAAGATTGAAGAGCTTGTAAATTGTAGTTTAAAACACATGTGCCAAGTTCTTAGAAATCTTGGTTTCGCATGGATTTGAAAAAAAATTTCATTTTCAAGAAATTATAATATATTTATGATAATATAATTATAAATAATAACAATTAATCAAAATAATCAAAACATTTTAAAATAGTATTTAAGTATTTTTTACTTAAGTTAATTTTTCACAAATATTGTTACGTTTTTGAGGAGTCACATTACGCGACATTTTAAAACCTGAAATATCCTTGACTTGTCATGAAAAGGCCAAATTATCTGATATTATCTGAATACGATATGAAGTCATGATGGAGTGCAGGCGTCAAAAATGTAGTGTGTGCAGTTTCATTTCATGACTTTAAGAGTCCTCAAAAATAAAATAAAATAAAATAAATAAATAAGTTGCAAAAACAATTATTTCATCAGAATACAAAGCAAGTATTCTTGAAGCCACTTGAATGGCTATCAATGGAGAAAGAAGCTTTCTGGGTCCAGATGGTGCAGTTATGACATCCACCAGCAGGCACTAACTGGGCCGTGCAAACAATGTCAGACATGGGAGACAATCGTTATTTTAGAGTTTCATTTGGTACAGCTAGTGGAAATTACACCTTTGGGAAAACAGTCCAGAGCTGAAGTCATCTTCTTCAGTGAAGATGTTTTTTTTCCCCTTTCTCTATAGTTCTGGGCACCACTTACCGCGCAGCTAAAGCAGCAGTTTATACAGATACAGTCATGCATCATGTTCATCCGTCAGAGGGACCAGGGCCCTGAAACCGCACCAGCATATGGGTGTAGCACAGTGGGTTCATTTATAATGGTGAGAACTACAACAGTAAGCCGGAAAAAGAGTGCCATTCTATATAAAGAAGCACAGTTTACCCACGAGTCTTGTGTACATCTGCTGAATATCTGGTGGTAACAGCTTCCTGTTTAGGGTCGTCTTTGATCTAAGCATTTTTTCTTTCTTGCTAAAGCCCATGTTACAAGCACTGATGGGAGAGTAGCAAAACAGAGCAAAATACAGGAAGGCACTTTTTCCATTTGACGCTACCTGACAAGTGACAAGTGAGTATTTGCTTGAATTATCCATTCAACACATTTGGTGAGTGAATCATTGAAACATTCAATCAACCCAATCATTCAGCAGATTTGTTCAAAAATATTGAAAGATTGAAAGACTGACTATTGAATATCAGCCATCTTACTCATATATTATTTCAATATGATTATTAAAGTAATATTATGTGATTAATTAATTGCCAATGTTTTTATTACATGATGATAGATTTGAAAATAGTTTAAAAACACATCCCAAGTTTAGAAATATATTTATTAGTCATGTTGAAATCTGATTAGATTTTTCCTTCCACCATCCATCGTTGTTGCTTAATGTAGATTACAAAGTTAATCATTCATCCTGAACAAAATTCTGACTAATGACATTAACTTATTTCAAACAAGGCAAAGTTTTACAGATAAATGATTAAAAAACCCTCCCCTCATTTCTTTTTTTCTGATCTCTTCCCATGCTCTACTGCAGTGGAAAATCATAATTACCGGCATATCAAAAAATGCTGACTACAGTAGCTCTAACGCAAGCAGCAATGATTATTGCCCATCTGTCTCTCCTCTGGTGCTTCTGTCAACTTCTTTTTTTTCTGGGAAAAACTACAGAAAATTATGCACATCATAGTTGGGTACAGGAGGACATGCAGCAAAATTTCAGACATTTACTTTTTCCTTCTCTTCTCTTTTCTTTTCATTTTTGTTTAGTCATTTTCAACTTCCTCAGCCCACCCCATCCTACAGAGCTTGTCTTTCACAACCACTCACTTCCTCTTATTTCATCTCCCTCTTTTCATCTACTCACCCTGTACATTATATTCTATCTTTCCTTTCATTTCAAGGAATAGTTTACCCCCAAAATGAAAATGTTTTCATTTATTACTTCCTTTTCTTTTGTGGAACCGAACATTTTACGCAGGTCTTTTAGATACGCAGACAGTTCATAGTGACAAGAGCTCTAAAAATGACCTAAAAGAAAAAAAAAACCCCATAAAAGTCTATATAATTATATCAAGTCTATGTCATTTTGACCATACCAGAGTCTGTGAATGAACCATGAATGAATAGCTCAAAAGAACTAGCTGAAAAAAAAGATTTGTTTATTTAACTGAACTTTCTGACTCAATGATTTAGGCACAGTGGTTAACAGCCCACTGAAGGGCAAGATTATCAGTGAATAACTTCAATATGAGTCTGTTTCTCACACAACGCTATCGTATGGCTTAAGAAGACATGCGGTGCATCCCAAATCGCATATTTATGCACTGTTCTATGACGTTTTGTAGTATATAGTGCGAGTAGTGTGTTCACACAGAAAATGCCAAACAGAAAATTGCACTTTAAATATCCGGATGATGCACTTAAATAATCGACGAAAAAAAAAAGTGTGGAATGTTGGACACTTCATGCACTCAACTGTCGCAGATTTAATTACGTAGTGGAGGGGGAGGGGCTACCAGACTCTGATTATGAATGACAAAATCACCTTAAATAATTCATACACTACATTGTTGAGTGCATAGTGCATAAGTACATGCATAGTGTATAAGTGCATAGTGTATAGTGCGTCATTTGGGATGCAGCTATGGAATATAGCGTTTGAGTCATATTGACTTTGTTTATGGTGCTTCTATTGCCGTTTTTTGGATCTTAACAGCTATGGTCACTATGAAGTGAATGGAAAAGACCTGAGAGAATATTCTTCAAATATCCTCTTTTTTCACTCTACAGAAGAAATAAAGTTATTCAGGTTTGGAACGACGAGGAATGAGTACATAATGAATAATGTATCATCTCTTTAATTTCCCAAAACACCAAATAAAATCCTGAAATTTTATAGCATGAATTACATTTGATATTATCTTCATCTGCTGGAAAAACTGGGCCAAATCTGCTTGAGGTGGTCAAGGTGATTTCTGAAAAATGATAGCTGTTTTTTTGTTGAAACCCAGTCTACCTGCCATCTAGACCACCTAGAAACCAGGTATAATCAGCTACCATCAGGATTTTCCAGCACAGCTAGATTTAATGTACCACATCACCGTTTTATTTCTCTCACACGTCCGTCTCTTCTCTGGGTCACTCCTCCCTTCCTCAGAACGCTGCATCTCTTATCTAAAAATATTCCCTCTATCTCAGTGCTTGAAGTGAACAGCAGGTCGGAGCACCCTCACTGTGAATGCCACCGGCCTGCTCACATGTCTATGTCTCCATGGCAACGGCCCGGGTTGGCGATTGTAATTATGACATCGTTGTGCCATTTTTCCCCCCCTTTTTCGCGTTCTCTCACTCCCCCTCCTCTCTCTTTATTCCTGTCTTCCTCTTGATGGCTGTGCAATGCAAATGTATATAATGATGAAATCATGTCTATGCTGCCTGCATATGCGATTTGTGACTAAAGATGAATAAGATAAAATGCCATAAATTTAAATTCTGGGATCTCTGGATTCCAGCAAACACAGATTTGGTCATTCACGTCTTGCAGGCCAGTTCAAACAGTGCAATGCCAGGTGCCATCTGTGGGTCATCTGTCTTTGGCTAGGAGTCTGTTCCATCTTTCTGTCTCTTTTTGGTGTATCCCTTTCTGTACCTCTCTCTCTCTCAGATGGAATGTTGGACGGGACGACAGAAATTCACAGGCCAGATGTGTCTGAAACACACATGCAACCTCTGCGAACTCCTTCCACAGAGCAGAAGAGAATTCATAGCCTTTGTAGACCTCAGTCAGAGTTCATGCCACACTTAATTTGATGCAAATGAAAACAAGGATTTGGCCGCATACCGAACACACTAAATGGTTTGGGAAGTGATAAACTGAAATTAATCGCAAGAGTGAATCCTCAAAATCAAGGGTTTTAAAACCAGGGTCCAGGAACTTCCAGGTTTCTAGGGAGTCCAAACCCTCCCCCAAATAAAAGAACAAATAAATAAAATTAAATACTACTAAAAAAAGAGGAATTGTTTGAATTAAAAAAAAAATTAAAATATGTCTTTCAAAAAAGGGGACGCTTTTAAAAGCATGTTTTAACTTAGTTGTGGCCTACGACCTACTGAAACTTTATGGAACCAACTGAATAGATGGTACATCTATCCTTCACAGACTCATTTTCATTTGTGTCATATTACCACCATTTGAGTCTTGTGGCTCACTTCCTGTCATTATTCTCACTATCAAAGACATTAATGACAAGAAATTCAGCCTTCTTGATGCACCATAAAGATCTCTTATCTAAAAACAATAAATTACATGAGGTGACAGATAATACACATGCATTAGCAAATGAGCTCTAAACTGGACATGCATTTGCAGTGTGTGCATGTGGAATGCAGCTGGTTTGACTGTGTGTTTTTGGCTCACACACTCTAAACTCTCACTGGTATGCATGGGGACAGTGCAGTGTTAGCATTACAGCACCCCGCTCCTCTCCTCTCCTCTACTCTCCCTCACACAGACACACACACACAAACCCTCGTTTCTCTGCAGGCCACAAACCTAAAGCTGCATACAGGAAGATGTGGAGGGTGC